TCCTTGGGTTTGCGAGGCAGTATCACTACAGAAGTAGGATTGCCCAACCTTCCTTCCGAGGAGTGGCTGGTGGGTTTGAACCGCCAGCTTTCTGGTTAGCAGTCAAGTGCCTTAGCCACTATGCTACCAGAGCTCCCATGCTGAGTACCTAGTATCCAAAAAAGTACTAAATGATAGAAACTAAAAAACCTAACAATAAATAAGCATATGTACGGTTTAAAGTGCAATAACACGAAACTCATCTCATTAAGGAGATAAGACAAACGTGGTACAGTTCAACTATAGGACAACACTTCAAAAAAAGCATTGGTGTGTACATGAAAATTAAACTTGTAGAGAATTAGAATAGGAATAGAATTTTTATTGTCTTCACTTTAGAGACATTGCTAAAGTGAGCTAAAAATATTTTGCCCAAAATTATCACAAATGATTTAGTGACAAATTTCAGGGAGTCCATTTCTATCTTACTCCCTCATTCTGTATTATTTGATTCCATATTAATAAATTTAGGATTATAATTTGCTTTGGAAATTACATGGAGGTCTCATTCTGGGAATTTCATCCATAAGATTTTTTATAAATGATTAAAAATTATTTGTTTATATATCAACAGTCACAATGTAATTGATGACATTAGGATATTATTAATATGTTCCATTAGTTCTACGTATATTTTCTCTGAAAACGTTATAGTTAATTTAATTTTATAAAGAAATTGTATGTAAGAATGGCTTAGAGGAAAATAAACTCTTTGTACACATTTAGAATATCCAAACTTTAGTCAGAGTACTGTACACTAGAACTATTAACATTAATGAAATATGTTACATAGAAGTCCCTGGGTAGCACAAACCTACTAACAGAAAGTTGGTGTTTTGAATCCACATAGAGATGCCTTGGAAGAAAGGCCTGGTGTTCGGCTTCCAAAAGGTCATAGCCATGACAACCCTGTGGAATAGTTCTACTCTGACACACATGGGGTCACCATGAGTCAGAATCAATTCAATGGCAACTGGTTTGGTTTGGGTTTAATATGTTACATGGAGTTTATTATGATGATGTTTGGCAATAAATCATCTCATAAACCTTTATGCTTATTTATTACTGAGTAGGCTTAATTTCCTCATCCCAGTCCATCATACACATAGCAGCTAGAATTATCTTCCTCATAGATTATATAATCAATCCTTTGTTCATCACATTAACCGTCATCATCAAAATTATCTACTCACATTACTTACCCACACTGCTCCCACTACTCCACACAATCTAATCAACCTTCTGGATCACACATTAGTCTCACACATGGAAGGAATTCTAAAGTGAACTGTCCTCCCTCCCCTGACTCTGAAAATCTGTGTCTACCCTTTCCTTTAAACAATAACTCCCAGTTCTCTGTCTTCAGAAAATCACCATTTAATCATTTAATAAAACTGTTTTTTTTTTCCCCTCTTTTTCACTCTTAAGCCCCCTGAGTGCTTTGATTCCTGCTATTTGTCATTAATCTCTTACTCTGGGATGTGAGAGCTCCTACAGTTATGTGGTGTGCCTACAGAAGCTCCATCCTTACCACAAAGTCTCAAGGCATTTTAACCCCACTTAATTGAGACCCACTTTCTTCCAGATATTTTTGACAGTTGTACTCTGCCAGCATTCCAAACACTTCAGGAAAATTCTACTTCCATCCCTTCCCCTACTTCTCTACAATTCTAAGATCTTGTACCAGAATATGTAAGAATTCCCTGCTCAGCCTGCTGTTCATGTGTGTGGATTTGACTTTATAGCTGGTCTGTGCAGGGATCATGTTTACTCCTTTGATTTTCTTTCTTTGGTGTTAGCAAGCTCAGTGACATTAAGCACTCAGTAAGTGTAGCAACAATCATTTTAGGAATTCCTAGAGGAGCTCTGGTGGCGCAGTGCCTAAGGCATGTGACTGCTAGCCTCTTGCAGAAGGAAGATTGGACAGTCTACTTCCATAAAGATTTACTGCCTTAGAAATCCAATGGGGGTTGCTATGGGTTGGAATCAACTCAACAGCAGTGGGTTTTGTTTTATTTTTTGGGGTTTATATTAGCATGTGTTCTATTGAATAGAAATATTTTCCAGTTTTCTCATTAAGTCATAGCAAAATAAAGATTTCCTTATTCAAATGGTTCTCTTAAAAATATCTGTTTTTAGTTTTTCCAAGTATTGTTACTGTTGTTATGTGCCGTCAAGTTGGACCTGACTCATAGCGACCCCACCTTGGGTTTCTGAGGCAGTATCACTATGGAAGTAGATTGCCCAACCTTCCTTCCGAGGAGTGGCTGGTGATTTGAACCGCCAGCCTTCTGGTTAGTGGTCAAATGCCTTAGGCACTATACTACCAGAGCTCCTTTTCCAAGTATAGCCTAGTTTTTATCATTTGTGGGTTTTTTTCCCCATCAGAATCCTTAAATACCCTGGAGGACAAAGATTTAGATGCTCTTATGGCTGATCTGGTAGCAGACATAAGTGAAGCTGAACAGAGGACAGTCCAGGCACAGAAAGCATCTTCACAGAATCAGCATCATTCGGCACCTCTCGAGGCATCTGATTTCAGTGGGGCAGCCTCTCTGGGTTATGGAGCAAACGTCGCTGCAACTACTATTAGCCACTACGAAAATGATTTACCACCTCCACCAGCAGATCCCATCTTAGACCTTCCACTTCCACCACCACCTCCTGAGCCTCTCTCTCAGGTAAGTGACTGGGACCAGAGGTGGCAGGACCATTGACCTCCGTTACACATCATCTTTGGCTGCCTGTGAACTCACAATCACCTTCATAAATTTGTACACCTGAAACTCTAAGATACGTAAAAAAAAAAAAAAAAAAACAAGGATAATGAGTATGTTCATTGCAGAGCCCAAATCCTCTATAAACAAGGGACATATGTGAGTGTATGACATCAAGTTGATTCTGACTCATAGTGACTCTATAGGAGAGAATAGAACTGCCCCATAGATCTTCCTAGGCTATAATCTTCACGGGAGCAGATCACCAGGCTGCTCAGCTGTATGATTTCAGGCTAGTTGCATAGTCCCTTGACCTCTCTAAATTGGGAACAATAACAGTGCCTGCTCCCCAATTTGTGCCCCACTAGACCTTACACAAGGAGCCCTGGTGGCACAGTGCCTAAGGCATTTGACTGCTAACCAGAAGGTTGGCAGTTCACACCCACTAGTCACTCCATGGAAGGAAGACTAGGCAATCTACGTCCGTAAAGATTTACCGCCTTGGAAACCCAAAGAGGGTCGCTATGAGTTGGAATCGACTCAGTGGCAGTGAGTTTGGTTTTCTGGTAGACCTTGCATAAAAGGGCCCTGGTGGCATGATTATTAACACTCAGCTGCTAACCAAAACATTAGAGGTTCGAACATACCAGCAACTCTGAGGGAAAGAAGACCTGGTGATCCACTTCTGTAAAAATAACAGCCAAAATAGTGGTGGAACATTTTGGAAAAGAATAGCAGTAATGGTGGCACAACATGAAAAATGTCATTATTGTCCCTGAACTGTAAATGTGGAAGTTGTTATATTGGTGAATGTCTTGGTGTGTATGTGTAAAAAAAGAAAAAAAAATTACAGCCAAGAAAAACCCTATGAGGAAGTTCTACTCTGACATCTAGGGTCACTGTGAGTTGAAATGGACTGGACAGCACCCAATGACATACCTTACACTCTCCCTCTGGTTTTGCACCCACATGTGGAACAGTGTGTGGCATGTGGTAGGTTCTCAGTGCTTCTGCTGCTACTCTGTGCCATCGAGTTGATTCTGACTCATAGTGACCCTGTAGGACACAATAGAATTGCCCCATGGGGCTTCCTGGACTGTAATCTTTACAGGAACAGATTGCAGGTCTTTTCTTCCATGGAGCCAACCTTTCAGCAGAAGCCAAACTCTTAACCACTGCATGACCAGGACTTCTTAAATATTCAATAAATGTTAAATCTGGGAATGAATAGAATCTGTCTCTTGAATGTCATCTTTTAGGTTACATTGTTGGCTCCTTGTGCACCATTAGCTCTTTGAGAAGGGTTTTGTTTTCTACACATCTATGTCTCTGGTCCTAGACCAGTAACTAAAGAAGAAAAGGCATACATTATATCTTTGTAGAACTGAATGTTGTTGGCATTGGCAGCCCTGTTCAATAGGGCTATGTATCACTTACAGTGTTTTAGCAAAGGGGAGGATTATGGGGCAGGCAGGTGGTGAGTGCTTGATATTAATAAATTTTGAATAACTGAATAGAAACAACTAGAAGTATATATAGTCATTATTTTGGACATTAGCTCTTAATATGGCTCTTAGAAGGTAAAAAATCACTTTGAAAGATTTCTCTTAGAGTAAGCCAAATATTTTGGAATAAGAAGTAGCTCGATTTCCTGTGGCTTTCACTTTTGTTTTACTTTGTGATGGTGGCCACTATTAATAAATATGACCCTAGTGAATTATTAGTTTATTAGTTTCCTGTGTATTAGTTTCCTGTGGCTCTTATAACAAATAACCAGAAATTGGGTGGCATCAATTTATTCTCTCACATTTCTGAAGACTAGAAGTATGAGATTAAGGGGTGCAGTCCCTCTGCAGGCTTCCCCCCCCCAATCTTTGAGCATCTCATGGCTGCCAGCATTCCTTGGCTTGTGGTAGCTTCACTTCAATTTCTGCCTCCATATTCACTCTACCTTCTCCTCTTCTGTCTTCTCCCCTGTGTCTCTTATAAGAACACTTGTTGGGTTTATGACCCACCCAGATAATCCATGATGATTTCTTTATTTCAAAATTCTTAACTTAATTACATTTTCAAAAATCTCTTTTCCAGATAAGGTCACATTCACAGGTTCTGGAGGTTAGGACATTGACATATCTTTTTGGGGTCACCATTCAGTTCACTACACCCTGCAAGTTCCTAAAATGCCTTTTGAATGAACAAATATTAGTCATACTCAGTATTTCTCTATTGTGCATTTATTATAGACTAATTATTTGAAAAACTGGTGATCCATGTATAGAAGAGTCTCTTAATATTAGATTTTTTAAGATTTCTAGGGGGTCCATGCATCCCTTGAAAATATATACTAAGTTGAATTTGTATGGGCTTCATAGCATTCAGCATATTCCCAAAGGGGTTTGTAACAACAACTAAAACAGTGAGAACTAAAAAAAAAAATCCAAAACCAAAATCACTGCTGTCAAGTGGGATCTGACTCTTAGCAACCTTTCCTTGGGTTTCTGAGGCGGTATCACTGTGGAAGTAGATTGCCTAATCTTCCTTCCAAGGAGTAGCTGGTGGATTTGAACTGCCAGTCTTCTGGTTAGCAGTCACATGCCTTAGACACTACACCACCAGAGCTCCTTTTGGACTGAAGGTTTCTGTTATAATCCATTGCAATTCTAAATATCGATCATGTGAAATTTGGTTTCTCTGCGTACAGCCTTTCATTAACATAAAAAGTAACTAAGGCACTGGCGAGGGCATGAGTAATTACTCACTGGTGTGATTTAATGGACTGTGTTGAATATTTTGCCATTTTACAGGAAGAAGAAGCAGCCCAACTCAAGGCTGATAAAATTAAGTTGGCACTGGAAAAACTCAAGGAGGCCAAGGTTAAGAAGGTAAGCTGTGAAATAGTTTCACATGGAGAAGTTAAATTAATGATATTTTTATCATACGTAATGATAAAAAATTAAAAATTTTGTGTGATGCTTTTCAAATAATTGTAATTAAAACAATTTTAAAGAAAAAGATAAATTATATAGTTATTCTTTCTATAGCACCTGATAGTTTATTGGTGATTGATAGTTAGGGAACATATGTTAGTATAAATGTAGAAATTTCATTGGCTTACACATGCTGTTTTGTTGGTCAACACATGATTTTATGACCAACCTGACCACATGATTATGGCCAAAAGCCAGGAAGGAAAGAGTGCTTGTGCTGCACAGGCAGGAAATTATCTCTACACCCGGGTCTCCCGCTCCCTTTCCAGAGAGGCACCCTTCCAGGCTTTGCTCAGCTTTTGACTTAAAGTCGATGGCATCACCTTCTGGACCTGCCTTAATTGGATCAGAACTTGGCTTCCTTTGACCCTGTCTCAGCTTTTCCACAATTGCTTTTGTGCATTTTTAATATTCCCTGAAGCAGCCTCTAGCCACGTTGCTTGCCCTGGGTGTCCAAATTTTCTCTTTGAAACTGAGCCCTGTAGTTTCAAAGTTGCATCAGTTTCAGTAATCTGCTCCTAACCTTGTTGTTGTTGTTGTTATGTGCCGTCGAGTCAGCCCTGACTCATAGAGACCCCTCCTTGGGTTTCCGAGGCAGTATCACTACGGAAGTAGGATTGCCCAACCTTCCTTCCGAGGAGTGGCTGATGGGTTTGAACCGCCAGCCATCTGGTGAGCAGTCAAGTGCCTTAGCCACTATGCTAGCAGAGCTCCTAACCTTACTTTTCCCCAAGAGTCTGCAATTGTGTGTGTGTGTTTACAGAGCATAAGGTTTTTCAGGAACTCATACATTGTAACAGAAACCTTTGTATTTAACCTCATTAGAAGTATATTGTTGTTATTAAGTGCTTTGTTGTTGTTTGTTGTTATGTGCCATCAAGTCAGCCCGACTCAAAGCGACCCCTCCTTGGGTTTCCGAGGTGGTATCACTACAGGAGTAGGATTACCCAACCTTCCTTCCGAGGAGTGGCTGGTGGGTTTGAACCGCCAGCCTTCTGGTTAGCAGTCAATTGCCTTAGGCACTATGCTTCCAGAGCTCCTATTAAGTGCTATCAAGTGTATTTTTACTTATAGTCATTCCATGTGACAGAACTGTCCCATAGAGTTTATTGGCTGTAGTCTTTTTGTTTTTGCCTTTTATTTTTATTGTTATATATCAAAGGGGTGTTTATATCCTTGCAGTCTAGTAGTAAAATTACTCTCAGGAATCTGATATTTGGCTATAGTCTACAGGAGCAGTTTGCCAAGTCTTTCTCTTGTGGAGCCACTGAGTAGGTTCAACCCTCTAGTCTTTTAGTTAGTAGCCAAGTACTTAACTGATGAACCACCAGAGCTCCTTATTAGAAGTATATACCTAGTAATACTAGGTAAATTGTTAGTGATAGTTAGGTGGGGTACTGGTTCAGTGATAGTATCCTCACCTTCCATGCAGAAGATCTGGGTTCAGTTCCATCACCCCTCTATCAGTGGAGGCTTTTGTGTTGGTATGCTACTAAACAGACCTTCCAGACTAAGACAGAGTAGGCCTATTGACCTGCTTCCAAAAATCAGCCATTCAAAACTCTATGAATCAGATTGGTGGAGCCACAAGTGATCACGGGGCTGCTGTAGGACCAGGCAGCAAGCATTTTGTTCTATTGTGCATGGAGTCAACATGAGTTGGGTGCTTATTGGAAAGCAACTATTGACAACAACAGTTACCATTAAGTAAGTAATTAATAGTAAGATGAAACCATCTTCATCTTATTTCAACTCCGACAGCATATCCCATTTGAGGCTTGTTAAGAACTTTTTATTTATATTTGGATGAATTATCCTTTTCATATAGGGCATTGCATTTTCTATTCCCACAGAGCTTATCACAGTTCCTTGAATGAAGGTGTTCGATACATGCTGCCTGATACTCAATACATAATCTCTGACTATTCCTGGATCCAGACTTTCACCAGTGCTATGAGAGTCTTTCCAGATCAACCTGGTTCTGTTCATTCCAAACACGCATGAACTTCTTTACCGTTACTCTTCCCTATTCTCTGCATGTAATTCGATTCAGTGGTCAGTCATTAAAATGATACATTCTCAGGTCCCTCACCCTTCTCCCCTTTTGTTGCCCTCACTTTGTTAAAATCTATTTAAATCCACCTCTCTACCTCCTCAGTGTTGCAGTACTGAACATGCTGGAACAAAAACACAGCTCTTCTCAAGTGGGTCCTCAGTGTTTCTGATAATCATACCACACTTCCCTAGACAAGTCACTCTCTCACTAACCTCAAAAACTGTTCATGTTCTCTCTTAAAACTTCCAATGTCATTTTCCTCATCCACATTCTGTCAGCTAATGAATTTTCTTCCTATTTCAATGAGAAAAATTCTACAAACTCTCATTAACACATTTACCTTCCTACCTAGCTGCACCACCTACATATGTATTCCATATTTTTTCCTCTTACTATAACTGAACTGTCCATGTTTTTATCTAAGACCATCTTCTCCACTTGCACTCCTTTTCATCCATCCTTCTCATTCCTCCTCTCCTCAAAGTCTCCAGTGACTCCCCATCTCACACAGAAAAAGCCTAAATCTTGACAGTGGCCTGACGCCCCTATAAGACTTGGCTGCTCCATTACCTCTCTGGCCTCATTTCCCACCAGTCTCTCATTCGTTCTAGCGACCTGTTTTTATAGCTGCTCTTCCAACATTCCAGGCATACCCTTGCCTCAGGATTTTCACATTTCCCCTGCCTCAGAAAGCTCTTCCCCAGATACTCTGTTACGTCCTGTCTTTGATCACCTTCATCAAACATTGCATGTGTGTGCACACACACATGCACACGCACACACTCCATATCCTTCCCAACTTTATTTTTCTTCTCAGTACTTACCACATGGATTGTGCAAACAGATAACATGCTTGGCTGCTAATCAAAAGGTTAGAGGCTTAAGACCACCCAGAAGTGCCTTGGAAGAAAGACTTGGTGATCTCCACAAAAACCAAACAAAACTCACTGATGTCAAGTCAATCCACCTCAGAGCAACCTCTCCTTGGGTTTCTGAGGCAATATCCCTACAGAAGTAGATCGCCCAATCTTCCTTCCAGCCTTCTGGTTAGAAATCAAGTGCCTTAGGCACTGCATGCAAAATCAGTCACTGAAAATAATACGGAGCACAGTTCTGCTCTGACACACATGGGGTTGCCTTGAATTGGAACTGACTTGATGGCAACTGGTTTTACCACTATTCAGTTTGTGATTATTTCATTTATTTATTATATTTATTGCCTATATCCCACTCATGTTCCCATAAAGCTCCTCCAGGGCAGGGATTTTTATGTTTTCTTCACAGATGCATCCTCAACTCTTAGAACAGGTGGTAAGGATACACAGAGTGAACAAATTGGGCAAGACCCCTGCTAGTGTAGTTAAATTCTGGTGGTGGAGATACTGCTATGAGGAAAATAAAACAGGAAGAAGTGATAGAGGGTGCCTGTGTGACTGCTTTAAATCTTGCTTTGACGATTAGGAGGCTTCTCTGAAGAGGTGGCATTTGAGTTACCAATCAATGACAAATGAAGATAGATTGTACTGAGTCACTGATTTGACTTTCTGAGATAAAAAGACAAAAGAAAATGTGTAAATATAAAGATCATAGATAGTTTTAAAAAATGCATTGTTTCTAAAATGAAGGCCATGTTGTATACATTTTCAGAGGGGAAAGTAAAACCAAACCAGACTCACTGCGATCAAGTTGATTCCAATTCGTAGCAACCCCCATTGGGTTTCCAAGGCTGTAAATCTTTACAGAAACAGATTGCCTAATCTTTCTTCCGTGGAGCACCTGATGGTTTCATACCAAATGCCTTAACCACTGTACCACCAGAGAACTCCTTAAAAGGGAAAATGAATAGGAGTTATTTCCTAGGTAAAAAGAAAAACTATAGTCTGTTTGGTTCAACTGACAGTTAAGAGAACAGTGGTGGGTCTAAATGGCCTCTATTCCCTGCCATATATCAAAAAGTGAGAGCTATAATTTAGTTTAGGTGAAATGTAACAGTAAACATGAAGCACAACCTACCTTAATTCAACAAAAGATGTAAAACAGAAGCCACTCTGATCAGTGGGGAAGGAAAAAAAAATTGAAAAGCCAGGTTGTATGTTTATCTTCATTTCATACTCCAGATTTATTTTTGAAAACAAAATCCTGTCCATGGCGCAGAACATTAAGAAAATAACTGAGACATTCTCGTACATTGAGGAAAGCTCTTAACTGTACTCATACATAATCTAAAACATGTTTTTAAAGGCTGGAAATCAGGTTTATCTGAAGTACTTTGCCCTCAAGTTTTCTGTGGTGTGTTGGAAATGACATTCACAGGTTATGGTGCAAAGCTTTTGGAATTGGAAACAGAATCAAACTTATTCATTAATTTTGTTTGTTTTGAAGCTTGGAGACTTAATAGAGCTTTCTAATTTGTAGATCTTATTATAAAAACAAAAATATTGTAAATTATTTACTGCTAGGATATTCTTGTATTTAACAGCTTGCCA